CATAAACAATTACAATATATATTTTTGAAAGCATTCCTACTTTACAGCATTTTTTCACACCCACCTAAAACTTTTGCACAGTATTGTATATTCAAATTATATTGCTTATAATCTGGTGAGGGTCTGGGACACCCAGAAATGACACTGAGAGCCGCACACATGCTATCCATTTTGCAATAGGATATAAGGAGGAGCAAGATTACCAAAACTTTAGCTGGTGTTTATGTTCCTTCTGTTAGTAATTTCACCTAGTAGAGCAAATTAGAACTGTTAATCTTTCAGCCCCTTGCTTAATATAATAATTACCTCATTCAGATTTTTGTTACTGAGAAAAGCATTAAAGCATTTACTAATTCCATTCATATTTTTATTGGTTCAGTGAACTGTGACATGATGGTTTGTAATGAAACCTTTTCTACTGTGCTACCTTTTAGATGTGTTCAACTACAACTGCGAGAATTTTCTGCCACCTGATGGCAAAGGCTGTTGTAAAAACTGCCTGAAACCAAGCAGTGTTTCATGATCAGAAATACTGTGGGATTTTCTGTTGACATAAACATAAGATTACACTGTCTGAAGTATCCTTAGGACTTCAAAGACATCACATTATATAGTAATTCTATCCATGTAATATAGCTTCAAGACAATAATATATTCTCCCAATATATTTCCCAGAAACATTTTAAATGTGTACCTGTTTTTCTTCCATGTATGTCAGCATGGTGCTTCACAAGAGGATTTCATAAGAAAAAATCAGGAGCAGAAAATGAAAGATATTGTATATGACATTGCGAGTCAAGCCCACATTCATCTGGAACATGTGAGTTTCTGGATTTTATTGAAATTTCATTAACAATATTGTTGACCAGCCTTCTCCGAACAGGCGCTCTCCAAATAGGTCAGGACACAATTCCTGTCCAGCATAGATACTGGGCATTCTGGCTGGGAGTATACACTACTATCTTGGGGAAGGCTGTTGTAAACCATGGTGGAATTTGGTTTGCACATTGATAAGCTTAGTTGCACAGATGAACAGATGCAAAGAACCCCACATTTACAAACAGAACAGGCTTCCATTGGTAGAGTGTGAGAAAACAAACAAGGGTTTTGTTACCATTCATTATCTATATATTGATACCTTTTTTGAAAATCAAGTTTCTGCTGGAATTCTTGAGTTGTAACTTTAACCTTCCTTCTAATAAATATTAATGAGTTTTGAGATACTAGTTCTTTGGAATAACTATTTCCTGTCCAGACTGTTAGAAACAATATCGACAGTGATGTTCTTTTACTGTGTCCCCTCTTTGATGGGAGTTTTGCCACACAAGGATTGTATCTTTAATGCTGCTGAACAAATCCTTAGCCATAGCACAATAGCTGCAAAGCAGCAATTTGATTCTCCATTGAAAAAGGGTACATTAGAGAAATTGTGTAGCAAATGGTGGATATTGGGCAAAATATTTGTAAAGATTAATATTTGGGAAGTTGCATTTACAGAATGTATTCACATTTTGAAACATGAAAACGTGTTTGGATTTCACATAGACTTTAAAAAACATGCAAATTAATATGGAGACAGCATAAATTAGACATGCAGTTACTGATTAGTGTAAATGAATGTTAAATGTAAATGAATGTTCAAGCTAGATATAAGCAGTTGTTATGAGCATATTCTTTAGTGACCAACAGAGGGCGAAATCCATCTGTTTCTAAGCTTGCTTAAATTATTTCAATGTTATGGCCTCAGAAGGGTATGTAGCCTTGATAAATATAATTCCTGCTAATATTTTTTCTCTTTTCCTCTTTTATGCCTAATTTTATACTGCAAATTTTTTGGATTGGGATTTGTCTTTCTGATGCTTTGTAGATAGCATAAAAAGAGCTCTGTAGATCAGGAAAGGCTCATCTTAGTCCAATATTTCATTTCTCAGATGCTCCCATGCAGGAGTTTGAGACATACTCCTCTCCTGGCATTTCCCTGCATCTGGAACTGGAGGCATTGCTACCAGGTTGCCATCACGACTCATCATACTGAGTCTTATGAAGATAATTATATAGAGTCATTGTGTTACCACTTGTCTTCCACCCATTTGTGCTGCCACTGCATTTCTTCTTCTTTTCTCTTGCTCCAGAGCTTCACTTTCCCATTCATGTTTATTCAGCTTCCCATTTATGTAGTCGCCTTCCATATAGTAGCACAGAAATATCTGTGCAGTTCTATAAAAACAGGCTATACTTTCTGTCTTCTAGCATTACTGTAAAAGAGAAGGAAGTAAAGCAGAATTACTGCAAGGTTCTTTCTTTGGTTTGAGAATTGTGTGTGGCTCTGTTGATTCATTAGGATAAAAAGTTAAAAGAAAGGTGTGGGGATCCTTCCAACTTGAGCAAGTGGGGCTAGAAAGTGAGGAAATAACAGGAACAAAACTATGCGTAAGAGTAAAAGTAGGTTTTTGTGTGGGTGAAATTAAATTGTGAAATGTCTTTACACTTTGGGAAGTGAAACCAACTTGAAAAGAAGCAAGATTCTCTGGTTATCAGTCCAAAGTTAAACTCAGAGTAGGAAGCTCAATGCCATATTTTGTGCTGATGTTTATGTTACATAAATTGGAGTGAAGTAGCAGTATTAATGACGTTTAGATCCATCAGCCTAATTGTTCCATCCCTGGATTGCACCAGCAATGCTAATAATGAAGAGTGTTGGTTTTGATAGTGAATAGATACGATTCACACCAATTGCGAGGTGAGGAGAGAGGAAAGAATGATTGATATGATCGTATCTCCTATAGTCAGAAGCTATTAACAGACAAAGAGAGGTGGGGGAACATTTCCCATCAATGTGCTGCTGTCCTTTTTCATAATCTGCTGCTCTTATTTGTCTTTCAGAAGAAACATTGGAGTCCTTGGTGTTCTTGCACTGAAGATGTTACCTAGTTGGGTAGTGAAATGTCTGCAAAAAAACCAACCAAGCTCAGAGAACACCAAGGACTCCACAGTTCAACCCTGAGCTACATACTGTATATTCTCTTCTAAAAGAAACATTCTTCTGCTTTGCAATATATCAGAAATGATGGAGCCTGTAGCTAAGCCAGATTTATAATACCAGATGCAGTATACTTTCCAAATGCTGAACATTTCTTGAAAGAGTCCTCTCTCTTATAAGGTATTTTCCATTTAGGGTTAAGGCATGTGGGGCAGGGGCAGTTATTATATACTGTCTTTCATTTACCCAGACTGCCAGTTCACAATTACAATTCTATTTAACAATGGCATTGTATGAACACAGAATCTCTGTGTGATTATTTATAAAATAGTTTACTTTTTCACTGGGGCTAGAAACATCCGTCCTGTCCTATCCTGTCTGCTGTTTGTCTGTTTTTCTTCCTCCTTTTTTAATCTAGCTGCCAGCTCTCTCTACTCACACTCTGTCTCCCAGTTTCTCTTAGCTTTGTAGCTTGTATGGAGGTGCCCGGTTAACTCTTTATTTCCTTTACTAGAATTCAATTTACCATTTCATCCCAGAGCCCAATTCATGAGAAACCTTGCCACTTTGATGTATTCCTTGGAATTTATAATGCACTCTCTTTGTTTCTCTCCAGGCTAGGTCCTTCAAGAAGAATGTCCCTGCCAAAGCATTTCCTGCCTTCCTCTGTACAGTAAGTGGTTCTATTCCATTTTTACTTCACGAAAATTGTGGTAATGGAATTCAGCCTGCAAACACCATTCTGAGACTATGTCTGAGCTACAATGCTTTATGACTAATATCTAGCCAAATGTTCAGAGTCTTGTTTACTCACCTAGCCCCTTCTGCTTTTTCTCTTATAACATCTGACCTAATGAAGTGTTCTGGTGAATGTGAAAACTTACATACTCTTTTATGTCATTTTAACAAAATTATTATTCAGTTGTAGATTGGGACTTTTTTTTCCCATGTGGATCAACATGGCTGTGATTTCTTTTGGTGGGACAAATTCTCTAAAGTCAAGATGGGAATCCCTTCTCAAAGCTATTTTTTGTCCTCCAAGGGTTACAAGGGACATTATGGTGTTGCAGGGATATAGATAGCATCAAACTTTGCCATCTGGTTTTTCATTAGGGAGGAAGGTTGGATTTTTCTACTCCAATAAAACAGCTATGTTAAGTGTATCAGAAACATAATAGCTAGCTTTCTGTTTGTGAGAGTAACACTTCCCAGCATGTTGTACATATGGAAATTTAAAATTTCTATCTGAAAATTAAATATGAATCTCAGTGATCCTCTTGCTGCTACTAGCATGACACTGGTGACCTATAAATCAGTGTTTCATTTGCTATTAATACACTGGCATTTTTATAGCAACAATAACAATAATAATATCTATTATATCCTCTTTCTTTCCAGGTTGCAATTGAAGATTATTTACATAAAATACAAAAAGCTGACTTCAATGTATTTCATCCAAGTTTGCATCAGAAGAGCACTTTACTACCTTTGCATTTGTACATTAGATCATGGAAAAAAGCTTATTGAAGAATATTTAATATGAGATTGAGTCTTTCTGACTGAGAATTGTTACATCTTTTTCATTTATGTGGCAATGTTCTATGGATGATATATCCAGGCTCTTCTTTTCACACTTAGTCCAACCATAGACTTCACAACCACCTTGTGAAACACTTTAGGCAAATTAGTAACTAGCGCACTGTCACAGAGTAAATTTCATGACTGAGTCAGTATTTGAACGCAGGTTTTATCATGTAAACTCTAATGCTATCCATTAATGGAGCAGCCTTCAACAATATGTCACCTTCTAGTAGTGTTGGAGGCTCCTTAGATCATTTGCCATTGTTTTATACCAAGCATCTTTATTATGAAACATTTATTTTCTGCCTTTTCTTTAAAAACCAAAATGACCCTCTCCCCCCAATTTGTATTCATTAAATTTATACCCGGGATCATGGAACTTGGTTCTTTAGCAACCTTCCATCCAGGGGCTAATGAAACGAGGCCTACTTAGGTTCAGCCAGGTAGTTGCATCAATAACAGATTAAAGCATATAAATAGAACAAAATTAATTGAAAAAGAGCAACATTGGATAAAATGAACTTCCAGAATTTTCTAGTCAGCATTGCCATTGTGGAGAGTTCTGGGAGTTGAAAGTTCACACATTTGGCAAGTGTCAAGATTGGGGAGAGTGGCCTATAGGATGCTGATTCTTCATGTCTCAAAGAATATTTGTATGCATTAATTTATTAAAGTATTTCTATACTGCTTTTCATTTTGTCAAAAATAGCAAAGTACTTTACAAAAACAATAACACGCAAAAAAGAGCCCCACATGCAACAAACAAAATAATATGTCAAAAGCATGAAACAATAAAAAACCTGAATGGTATACAGATTATATTTTTTCACTTATATGTGCTGGTAATAAGTCCCCCCACCTTGTTATTTTCTAGCAACATTATTTCATCTAATTCCTTGAGCAGATACCTGGTTAATGTGAATTGTATTTGTACCCTGTGGATAATTAACAGTATAGGTCATATGCTCAAATGTGCTTCTTTCACAAGACACTGACAATTTTTTTTTCCGAGTCAGTTTTTTTTTACTCCTGGCGACTGCTTGGACAAGTCCCTGTAGTTTTCTTGGCAAGATGTTTTGGAAGTGGTTTGCCATTGCTTCCTTCCTAGGGCTGAGAGAGAGTGACTGGCCCAAGGGCACCCAGCTGGGTTTGTGCCTAAGGTGGGCTTAGAACTCACGGCCTCCCAGTTTCTAGCCTGATGCCTTAATCACTACACCAAACAATACAAAAAGAAAAAAGATACTGTTAACATACTGACATAAAAATGTTTGTTAATTTAAATTTGTATAGTTTACTAGACAGTATAGTTCTGTCGAGTAAATTAAATTTGTTTAATTTCCTCAACAGTACTATACAGATATCAATAGCACTGGAAACATTTATTTATAGAACTTAAATGGCTGTCCATCTCATATAATGATTCCAGGTGGCACACAAATACTTTATAACGTTTTTAACTTGCAAATACTTTTAACTTTTGCTGCTGGATGAAACTTTCTCAAATTGGCCAGTGGAAATATCTGTTTGGCTCACAAAGTTCTTATATCACTCAGACATTTGATATGAAAACTTTCTAACATGGTGAACGGGAATTAAAGTTACAATTTATCAATCAAATCAGTACAGTTCATTCCTAGCTGTTTGCCTTATGAAAAGATAGCTGTATTGGGATAGCTTTACTATACTCTGGAATTGTAAAAAAAAAAAAAAAAAGTATAGTATTGCTTTGACTGGTAATGCCTAAGAAATAATTTTATATATCTCCAAAATCTACAGGATTTTGAACATTAATTGGCTCAGGAGAATAATGTCAATTATACTTTGTCCTACACCTACTATATCTTGACCAGATAAGAAAGGGGATGGGATTGAAGAAAAAGTTTCAAAACCTGCTTGTACACAAAAGATACCCATTTCAATCTCCAGATTTCAAGAAAAGTCTGGGAAGTTTCATTTTCTGAAATGTGGAAGAACTGATGCCAGCAGCTATAATCAACACTGCCCTAGAACAGACAAGTCATTTGACTCAGAAGAAACTCTTCTTCATTTTCCTTATGCTCAGGTAGGTTTTAATGACAACAAATCCGGTTCGGGCTGTGGAAAAGCAGAGAATATACACCAATACTAATGGATGCGTTATTGTATTGTAGAGTTAGGAAGGCACAGCTGCAAAAAGGGAGAAAAGATACGTTGTGTGATGTAGGAGGGCGAGGTGGTGTAGTAAAGCCGGGAGAATATGCATGAGCAGAAAGAAGCCAGTAAACAGGATGTGAGTTCACAAGATTACAACAATTTGAAGTCATGTGAGATTGTAAGGTTTCAGAGAGTAACACGATACTGTGTCAAAGTTCAGGTAGCTTCAGCTATGGAGTTTACTGTCAACAAAAGCTAAGGAGATGAAATTTGACTCGTTCCACCCCTAACAAATATGCCTCCCTTGTCTCAGAACACTGCATAGAATTGTGGATGAAACACAAGGAGGCAGCTTGTGACAAGTATTTTTTCTTTTTGTGTAATTCTTTTGTGTATTCTTTTTTTTGTGTAAATCACTTAGAGGCTGATGGGTTACTTTCTTCCTTCTGTTTAAAGGAGTTAGCTAGCCTACATTTCCTTCAACATCATTTCCTTCAACAATCCTGCCATCTTCTGACATCCTTCTTCCTTCTTATCTGTCTGTTTTCTCTGTGTTACTTCCTCACACTTACAACTGTCGCAGTGTTCCCATGGTCACACGATCACAATTCGGGTGCTTCACAACTGGTCGGTGTTTATGACTCGCAGCGTCCTGCAGTCACATGATTGCCATTTGTGCCCTTCACAGCCAGCTTCCAACAAGCAGAATCAATGGAGAAGCTGGCAGTAAAATCACAACTCTCGGTCGCATGATGTCTCGCTTAATGACCATGGGTGATTCGCTTAATGACTGCGGTGGAAGTGAAGTCCATCATGGTTAAGTAGGGGAAGACAATGTACCATACTCTCAAGTAGAGAAAAAATCCCTTTGCATGCAAGAGAAGGAGCATACTAATTGGGAGGAACATAGATGTAGATGCAAGCCCTGCCCCCAACATCTTCATGTGATTTAAGAGATTGCTGTGCGGTTAGCACAAAGCTCTGACCTGAAAATACAGATCTTGGGGAACCAGTGACCTTGCTATGCTGTTGAATTACAACTTCCAGAAGCCCTGGCCTGCACAGAGAGATTCTGGCAGTTCTGGTTCAGTGGCATCGGGAGAGCCACCCACGTGAAAGAGTTTTGGGTGTGTTTTTGTCTGAATACATTTTACAATACTACCTGTGAAGTCAGGATTCCTCAACAAGAGGACTGTTAAAGTATGCAGCAATCTTAATGCTGTTTTATAAAATATTTTAAATATTTTAAAACATTAACATGATACTGAAAGCAGAATAAAACCACCACCATAACTATAAAATTATCACAAAGACATTTATAATAGTCTTGTGTTATTTTTTTAAAAAGGGTCTTCAACTTAACACTGAAAAAAAATATAGGCACTAGGCAAGTATCTGATTATTTCAAAATCATGTGACCAAGATCTATCTGCTAGCCATGTCCTATCCCTCACTTACTAGAATCCTCTGCACCCTGAAAATTGCCTTAACACACTAATAATGTGAGGAAGTTTGGGATCATTTTTACACTGTTTACCATGAAAAAGATCTTCCTGCATGTAGGTAGTGTGTTTATAAGAAAAGCTACAGACCTACAGATCTCTCTGAGCTACCACTTTCTACATATCGGAAAGGCCTTTCAGACAAGTCCTTAGTTTAAATCTGCAAAACAGCAGTTTACTGTATTTGGAGTTTCTGTAGCTTGAATCCAGACAATCTTTCCCTCCAAAAGAAGAGCTTCAGTTGGCAGAATGGGGAACAGGTTGATATTCCTTTCTGCTCTGAACGATACACACACTCCAAATCTATTCTGGAAGTTCTGTGTGTGTGTGTGTTTGTGCAAGAGAGAGGGAGAGAGATTGGGATAGAGGGAGGGAAGGACAAAAGAAAAGAGGAAAGGCCAGCTGTGTGAGTGGAAAGCTTCTTGTGCAATGGTGGAAATGATCCTATATAATTTAAAGCATCTTTAGTATTTGTAAACCGCTTTATTAACAAGACAAAGAAAGATAGCAATTGATTATATTGTCTGGTGCTTCTATTTCAGTGTTCACTTTTCAAGAAGTTAGGTTTCAGATATACAGAGATGGGTGTAGTTAGTAGATCTCACTTCAGGTATACAAAGGGAGGATTACGCTCTTAAAATCAGTGATGGTACAAAGACTTGGAACAAAGAAATGTGAGCAAAATGAACATTATGTTTGTATAATTCACTGTATCATCTGCTTAAATGCAGTGTTTGCCACATCATATGCTTGTGGTACCCTATTTGAAACTAAGAATCCTGATTATATAATGTAATGTAAACAAAATAATTCAGAGAAAGAGATTTAAGATATACAATTATTTTGTACGGTCAGCACAAATGATGTACCAGAAACATATATATTCAAGGAGCTGTTCCACATTGTTACAGATGCAACTGAGCACTATATTCTTAGTATCTTTCATCAGAGCATGATACTCTGAGATATCAGCATCTGTTTGGCTGCAAATGGCACATACGTTCATTAGGTTTGTGGGAGTAAAGGTGCAGGGGAGTAAGTAATATATAACTCATATTTTAATGCCTATAAGGTCTCAGTGCTATTTAGCATCTTTGTTTACAGAATCAATCAAGAATATTCATATTGTTATAAAGAATATTCATGTTGTTGAAAGAGTTCTGTGTTCTGATTCAGACATCTGTATGGTTTCCAAGAAAGATTGTTCATCAGATATTAAGCCATGGTTTCAAATATATTATGTTTCTTAAGTCCCTCTGCACAGTTTAAGGGAAGATCCAAGGCGCTTTCAGCTGTGTATGCTCATGGCGGGGGGGGGGGGGGGGGATCTGTTTTTAAACTAGCTAAATAGCCTAGAATTGTCTCTTTGTATTCTAGGATAGTACAAACACTCGTTTTCATTAAGTCACCCCAGTTCAGGGAAGTACATATCCCTTCATGAGTACTGGCTGTGTTCACACAATATGCTTTTATATTCCTTCCTTTCCTTAGAAAAATAGATTCATTCAGTGACCAGGTTAAATATGTTACATAAACACTGCATAACATGACGCAAATCAAGCTTAGAGTTAAAGAAGATTCACATGAATCCCTCTACATGGAAGCCCTGAGATTGTTCATGGCAGTTTCGTCCCTGTTGGACAATCCTGTCACCCCATCCATGGTAGATACGCTTCTGTATGTATATAAACGGACAAATGCAAATCTCCATATCAGGGTTGTCAGAATACCGGAATAATGTTCAGCAGAGACAAATGCAAAGATCTTCACTGAGGAAAACGAAATCAAAAGTAGAAGTAAGGGCTGAGGAACTTCTTTTCCTCTTGTTTTGTGCCATTGAGTCAATCTTGACTCCAGGCAATTGCCTGGACAAGTCTATAAAGCTTTGTTGGCAAGATTTTCAGAAGGGGTTGGCCATTGCCTGCTTCTTCCTTCTTCTTCCTAGGGCTGACAGAAAGAGAGGGACTGGCCCAAGATGACCCAGCTGGCTTCATGCCTAAAGCAGGACTAAAACTCACTGTCCCCTGCTTTCTAGCCTGGTGCCTTTATCCACTAAACCAAACTGGCTGTCATACCTGGCCTGATAATAGCTGATGTGAAGGGATTTCCAAAAGGTAACGAGCAAGCTGAATATGGGCCAGTTCAGATCATCCAGTTAGCTAGTTAAATGATTAAGTCAAAGGGCAGATTAACATCCTAACCAGCTGAATCCATTCCAATAACTAATCTAGAGCTAAATTAATTCTTCCCACTCAACCAGGTTATGCAAATTGCTTCCTGGAGGGTGAGAACAACTGTATTTTCCTGTTTCTGAGTCATGAAGTCATAGAGACACCCATCTTGGCTATTCCTTTTCTGTTTCACAGAGACCAAAAAGAAAACGGTACGGCTGCAC